GCGGCGGGGTGGTCCGGTGGTGCTGGCCGGCCGGGGGCCGTCCCCGGTCCAGATCTGGGCCCGTAGGGTTCCTTCTGGGTCCGTGCGGGTCGGTTCCGGCGCAACCGCAACACTCTCTGTATGAGGAGGCTGGGGAGCGGCTTGGACTGGGTCAGCGACGCCGGCGGCGTGCCAGCTGCTGCACGGAGGCGGGAGCTGTCCGGGCCTTTGAGGGCCCGGCCGGGCCTGTGGGGCCACGGGCCCGGTAGGCTCCTGCCATGGCGTCCGGTCGGCTACCGTCGTGGACGGTGGAGGTGGGGCCCTCCCGTATGCCGATGGTGCTGTTGCTCTAGTCCCGGCTCCTCTTCTCCGTTGTGCAAACCATCTTCGCGGTGCTGTGGTGAGACAGCGTGGGAAGTTTCGTGTTCGTGTTGGCGCAGGGTGGTGGTCGGTCTGGTGGCGAGCTCCGGAGTGCCTGAGGGAGAGGCTGGGATCGGGAGAAATCTTTGTTGGCTTGGCCGACACCGACGCGGTGGCGCCTGAGGGTGCCGCCGGACCTTCTTGGAGGGCGTCGGGGCTACCCTTCCTCTCTCCTCGCCGTGTACCGGGGGAAACCCTTGGCAGCAGCGTCGTCATCGTCGCGTCCCTTCTTGGAGGTGTTGTTGGGTACAGGCACTTCGGAGTCTCGGAGCTTGGTGGGTGATCTCCGGTGGACGCAGCGGTCACGAGGCTTCGTCGTTTTTGTCGATCCGCCGTTATCGGCATTTGTTTCTTTTTTTTTTCTTTTTCTTTTCTTTTTGGGCGTGTTTGTGCTGCTTTCGCCCCAGCCCCTATCGTCGGTTGGATCGGTTGGTTGCTTTGTAATACAAAGCGGGGGGAAACCCTTTTTCGTCAAAATTGCAACAAGGAACATAAAGTAAAATACTAAGTAATAAGATGACATCGAAAAAAAAAAAGATGAAAAAAAAGCGGTCAGCTGTTTTTCTCGATCTGCAACGATGTATCCCAGCCAGTTCTGGTCGCCCGTAGCCACCAAGATCCACTGTGTCCCACCACTACCGGTCCCACAGCGATGGTTCCACCTGGAAAGGAAGGGCATGCGGTGGTCGCCCGTACGCCTTGCAGAAGGAGTTCTTCCTCAACGAGTGAGCTGTGAGCGACGTTGCCGCAGCGCTTGCAGAAGGAGGATGAGGAGGAGAAAGCGGCCCAAAAGAGGCAACCAGTGCCCCCGTTGAGATGTTTTCGTATTTGGAGGAAAGCAGCGAAGTGAGCAAATAAGGATTCCTTTCCTGCAACTCATTGCAGCTCGCTGCCGCACATTCAAATGGATCGGAGCATGCAAATTAACCCTCCCATAGCCTATCAGATGGGGCCGGTGTCATTTTTGGCCGAGGTGAGAGCGATTAGGTGCGGATTCATGCTAAAGCGAACAACATGGCAGATTCTCCATGTGAAGCGCACCTGCTGGGTGCACGCTCTCGAGAGCCTTCCCTCCATCTCGGACACCACCGTTGACTCATATGTCTCCGGCTCTCCGCTGGACATCTCGAGATCTACTATCTAGATTATTTGAATAGCCTATTTTACCTTCTTTTTTAAGTAAATGTGTAAGTTCTAATCCGTGTATTTGATTTGCATCCTAATAAATAGTAAAGGTTTTAAAAGACATTCTACCCAAGCATACTCTTCCATCCTTTTCGAAAAAAGAAGCATACTCTTCCATATCAATTTAGTTCAAGTGCCCTTCCTTGCCAAAGTGCCCTTCTACAACCAAGCTCAAATGAGCTCGGGATGAACAGTAACTCAAAAAGCATTTTTTAAATGTCCAAAAAAATCTGAATTTTTTTATGACAAATGTTCTAAGAGCTTGCAAAATCTCATCACGAAATCACATTTGAGAAAGTTGTGGCAAAAAAAAACAGTGCTCCAAGATGCTTTTGAAAGTAGCATTTTCAGAGTATCGATTTTGTGTTTTTTTTTTTGCTACGTAAATATGATTTCAAGATGAAATTTTGCACGATCTTGGAACATTTGTCAAAGTTTGCCATAAAAAATTCAGATGTTTTTGAACATTTTTAAAAATGTTTTTCGATATATGTGTGTGAATCAACAATCTTAACGGTGCTGTAAATGTCACCTTTTCGGGGTGGAGATAGACCTTTCCCCGGAAGAACAGCACGACGCCGGACTGCTCCATCGCCCGCGCGAGCACCTCCGCTTGGCCGTGTGTGCGCGCCGCGCCGGCCTCCACGCACTCCTCAAGGAACTCGCCGTAGCTTATCACCTCCTCCGACCGGTCCCGCAGACTCCTCTTGAGCATCTCGACGCCAACAAGCCGCACCACTCGCCGAGCCTCCCCCGTGGTGAACTCTGCATTCGCCGATAAAAGCCGGCGGTTTTGCAGAGTACAGGCCGCCGTAGCGGTTGCCGGAGACGGCCGACGGTGAAGGAGGAGGCGAGAGGCGGCTGCTCGCCACATGGTGAATTTCCTTGTGACTAGCAGCGAGCGCGTCGAGACTCCGGCGAGAGACAGTTGCCAGTAGACGCGGATTCTTGTTCTTTGGGTCTCCAGGCGAAGGGGTACGCGAGTAATTTCAATCTAGTCTAACACGTTAATTGTAGTACTCCTACGTAGCACGAGTTGCTTAACTCTCGCTCTCGCTGCACCCTGCACGTGAATACGGCGAGTAGTACATGCTCCTCTCTCGTTCGTCCGAGCAAAGCATGGGAGACCAGTGCCAAGGCGGCCTCGATAGTCGCGCTCGCGCGTGAGCCAAAGTCCACACCGTCCGACGTCGCGTATAGTAGTATATAGTTCGTCACTTTTTTTTGGATAAAGGACACTTTTATTATCTTGAAATGTAGCATCAAGCGGATACAAAGCATTATAAGTAACATCTGGCCTTTGTATAATTAGGGTGCACACAACCAAACATGTAAAGTCTGACAAAATGAAAGAAAAAAAACGACAAATCGGCGACAGTAGAGTCCTATAGACCGACACTATGCCTATGTCACAAGGGATGATGGACCGATCCAAAGATTATGCTGTCATCCATGTTGGGTAAAAACCACCGTAGCCACCTGCTCCAACCGCATACACACCGCCTTGAACAGCAGTTGGTACTCCGCTCGTTGTAGCGTAGACCACGTACGAAGCGAGTGCGTACAACGGAAAATAACCTGCAGAGGAGAAGCATTTTTTATCATTGAAAACCAAATCATTTCTACATAGCCAAAGCAACCATAGTAAGGCGTATGCTCCCACCCGTATTACCGTTTTGAATCTATTTGGAATAGCGTCCAACTAATGACAAAAAAATATTGGCGACACTTGTGGGCGGATACAAATTTAACGCTATTTGGATGATTGACCACATAAAACGTGGAAATTTGCATTGAAAAAAAAGTGTTTGATGTCTTTTCATGAGTACAAAAACAACACTTCTTACTTCCTGGCCAGTTGCGCCGCGAGGTTGTCTTTGGTTAGAACAACTCCTCTACGAAGATATCACATGAAGATTTTAACTTCTAGTGAAATCTTCAACTTCCAGATTTTTTTGTTATTACTCATCGATACCTCAGAATGCGTGAGTGCACGGTATATAGAGTCAACTGTGAATGACCCTGATGTAGTAAGGTTCCAGCGAAACACATCCCGACTTTGTCTAAGATTAATCGAATCAAGACGGGATAAAAGATTATGCCATGACATAAGTCGGGAGGGGGGCAATCAAATCCCGCCTAAACGAAATGTTGGGTGGGGATGAACTGGGCACTTGCGCAATAGTATTATTCTTTTCGCAAGCAATGTTGTACAGGGCTGGATATTGTTCTCGAAGACCGGCATTGCCTAGCCAAATGTCTTCCCAAAAACGAACCTCCGACCCGTTCCTTATCGCGAAAGATCCAAAGTGAAAGAGATGTTTCTTTGCCGCCATTAGGCCAGCCCAAAAGTGTGAGTCGACGGGTGTCTAATATGCCTGAGACACCGCCTTTTGGCCTAGATACTTGTTGCGCAGTATGGTTTGCCGAACGTCATCCTTGATAAGAAGTTTAAACAACCATTTACTAAGTAGGGCCTCATTCTTGATCTGCAAGTCATGAATTCCAAGGCCACCTTGGTCTTTCGGCCTAAAACCACACTCCATTTGGCCAGTCTGTATTTTTTCTTTGCACCATCTCCTTGCCAAAAGAATCTGAATTTAAAATAGTCCAAGTCTTTGCAAGACCCCTTTTGAGAGTTGGAAGAAAGAAAGCATATAGATAACCATATTTGTGAGGACAGAGTTAATTAAAATCAGCCGTCCTTCAACTGAGAGCAATTTGCCTTTCCAACTGCTCAATCGTTTCTCTAATCGCTCCTCTATATGCTTCCACTCCGCAATGGTGAGACACCGATAATGAATCGGTATTCCCAGATATTTAATCGGAAATTGGCCATGTGCGCAACCAAATAGGTCAGCATACTCGGCCGCCACCTCGGAGGCTTCTCCAAAGCAGAAAAGTTCGCTTTTATGGAAGTTTATTTTAAGACCCGACATTTGCTCAAACGCTGACAACAAGAGTTTAAGATTTCGAGCCTTGTCCAGGTCATGTTCCATAAAGAGAATTGTGTCATCGGCATATTGCAAAATAGAGAGGCCACCATCCACAAGATATGGCACTACTCCTGCAATCTAGCCGTCCTGATTGGCGCGCTCAATCAGAATAGCTAACATGTCAATGACAATATTAAATAATATTGGGGACATGGAGTCACCCTGTCGTAGTCCTTTTTTGTTTGAAAGTAATGGCCTACATCATCATTGACTTTGATGGTCACACTACCTCTAGTTACAAAATTATGGATCTACTCGCATCATTTATCGGGCAAAATTATAATTCGTCACTTATCTGTGAATTAATATATATTTTTCACTTGTCAGTGAAGATAAGATTATTTACGTTTTTGAGGGCTCAACTATTGTGGTTGCATAGACAGCTATGCACTACGGAAACACCTGGTTTGCCGTCAGACTTGTACTAACGGCAAAGGCACTATTACAGACGGCAAATATTTTTCCCTCTGCTAGCTGACGGCAAAGTGTGTCGACAAAGCCGAAGCAACAAATAACACTTTATCATCAGCTTTTCGTCGGGCAGATGGCAAAGATTTTGCCGCCAGCCCACTTAATAGCAGACGGCAAAAAAAGCCTCTTTGCCATTAGTCAAACATAGCCTTTGCCGTCACCCTTGTGTAATCAAAGACGACAAAGAATTTTGGTAGATATTAAAAAAATCAACAAGCAACGTGTCCGGCGTCCGGCGAGCAGCGTGTCCGGCTTCCTTTGAGCAGTGTGGCCAGAGTAGCAGCGGCCGACGACGACCATGGCCAGGCTCCGGTGGGTGCCTGCGGCCAGGTCCGGCAAGGGGCTCCCGCGATGGAGTCCGAACAGGGGCGGAGAGGAGGAGGCCGAGGAGGCTCGTCAGCGGCAGGGTCCGGCGAGGGGCGGCCGCGACGTGGTCCGGGGATGGGCGGAGAGGCGGGGAACGGCGAGGGGCGGCCGCGACGGGTCTGGCAATGTGCGGGGGCGGCCACAGCAGGGTCCGGTAAGGGGCGGCCCCAACGGGGTTCGGCGATGAGCGGAGGGGCAACCGCGGCGGGGTCTGGCGAGGGGCAGCCGCGATAGGGTCCGGCGAGGGGCGGCCGTGGCGGTGTCAAGCAGCCACTGGAGGCGCAGGGTGCTGCTGCTGGGCTTCTATGCTCGGGGCAGAGGGGAGAGAAAGAGCGAAAATCCTAGACCTACGTAAGATTTTACGTGTTACTACGTAACTTCCTTTCATCAAAACTAAACGCCCCCTCCTCCTGATTTTCAGAGGGGTGGGGGGCTCACTAATATACAATTAACTGCTGCCAAATCATCTTTTACGTAAGATACATAACAATGTGCGCGTAGATGTAGCATTGCTCGAGAAAAAGATCAAGGGAGGAGGGTCATGCACGTTGGGGAGAGAGGGTGTGGTGGGGTCGCGTGGGACAGAGAGAGTGGTGGGTCGCGTGGGTGAGAGCTATCATTGTGTGTGGTGCAGATCATGTCATGTCATCGATCCGCGTAATGTGTTTTCTTTTAGCCGTCTGTAAATAAAATCACAGGCGGCAAAGCCTTTTTGCCGTCTATCATTTTTGTTGCAGACGGCAAAGTTTGTATTTGTCGCCGTTCGTTCTTTGCCATCATCTGCTGATGATGGCAAAACCTTTATTTGTCGTTTGTTCTGACGAAATGCTGACAGCAAAGAAAGTCCTGCTCCTGTTTTCTGTAGTGACGAATGTGAACTTATTGCCGTGTTTGGCTGCCATACCAACTTTTGCTAAGAAAAAAGTGCAAAACGTAACATCTGTATATTGTTTGGTCGCCCACATCTAAGCCTCTTGCATTAGGGAGCAATTTTGGCATAGCGTTTGGTGCCCTGCATTGGCTCGGTTCATGCAACTACACGGTGTTTGGTTGTATACATGAAATATGATGAAGAGCTAACACTTACACTTAACACACAAGGTTACACTAGAGTACCTCACGACTGCGGTGGACAGTAACCGTGCCGCCGCGTCTGACATGAGTCAGAGCACGGAGTTTCGAGCGAGCGTTCCTGTCGGCGCCGACAGCACCACGCGCATACGCCTGCAGAGTAGGAGATATGCACTACGCACCATGGCAACCTCACTGCAGTACGGCGAGGGAGAGGAGGCCAGGATGAACGATGTCGGAGACGACTCCAGTGTACTAGGACGCGAGCATGGAGGTTGAGAAGAACAACGACAACAATGCTGGCACTGCAACAAGGCGCATGCGAGGAGTCCGAGAGGGACAACGACGGCAGTGGTGACAGTGTAGTAGTATGCATGAGAGAAGGCAGAGAGGCAGCGACACCGCGTCCGACATGACCATCATGGGTTGCGGGCGAGCGATCCCGTCGGCGACAAGACGAACTAGTTGCTAGCGTCGTCGTCGTAGAAAAAGTCCATGCGGAGGGACGAATAGGAAGGTTGTAAGGCAGAGGACAGAGGAGAAGAAATACAATGTGCGCGTCATGGCAGCGTCGGTGCAAATAGGATTCAGGAGAGGAGGCCAAGTTGAATGGCGGCGACTATGATGCCGCTGCAGCAAGACGCGGGGGAGGAGATCAAGAGGAACTATCAAGGAGTGTCTTAAATCAGACCACACGTATGCATATGTACAATCATGAGGAAGATATAGATCTTTTCGTCTATGATCCTGAAACCGAAAATTTTGCATCACAAAGTCATGTGAAACTGTAAGATGAAGCTACTGGCTAAAGGAAATTTCAAATGATCGACCTGCGTGACAAATTTGATAAAATTCGTTCCAAATAGATTCAAACATTTACGGTCAACGAAACTATTTTCCTCAAAAAAAAATAGATTCAAACATGGACACGAAATTAACATTTACGGTCAACGAAACTATTTTCCTGTTG